GGGGGGAAGGGGGGGGAAAAGGGGGGGAGGGAAAAAAAAGGGGGGGGGGGAAAAAAGGGGGGAAAGGGGGGGGGAGGGGAGAATTTAAAAAGGGGAGGGGAAAAGGGGGGGGGGGAAAAAAGGGGGGGGTTTTTTTTTAAAAAAAATTTTTTTTGGGGGGTTTTTCCCCCCAACCCAAAAAATTTTGGGGGGGAAAAAAAAAAAAGGGGGGGGGGGGGGGAGAAAAAAAAAGGGGGGGGGGGAAAAAAAAAAGGGGGGTTTTTAAAAATTTTTTTTTTGGGGGGAAAAAGGGGGGAAAAGGGGGGGGAAAAAAAAAAAGGGGGGGGGGGGAAAGGGGGGAAAAAGGGAAAAGGGGAGGAAAAAAGGGGGGGAAAGGGGGGAAGGGGGGGGGGGAGAGGGGGGGGGGGGAAAAAAGGGGGAAAAAAGGGAGGGAAAAAAAAAAAAAAAAGGGGGGGGGGGGGCCCCAAAAAAAAAAAAAAAAAAACTTTTAAAACCAAAAAAAAAAAAAAAAAAAAAAAAAAAATTTTAAAAAAAAAAAAAAAAAATTTAAAAAAAAAAAAAAAAAAAAAAAAAAAAAAAAAAAAAAAGGGGGGAAAAAGAAAAAAAAAAAAAGGGGGGGGGAAGGGGAAAAATTGGGGGGAGAGGGGAAAAAAGGGGGGGGGGGGGGGGGAAGGGGAAAGGGGGGGCCCGGGGGAAAAAAAGGGAAAAAAAAAAATTTTTTTTTCCCCCCAAAAAAAAAATTTTTTTTTAAAAAAAAAAAATTTTTTTTTAAAAAAAGGGGCCCCCCTTTTTCCCCCCCTTTTTTTTTCCCCCCCTTTTTTTTTTTTTTCCCCTTTCCCCCCCCCCCCCCTCTCCCTTTTTTTCCCCTCCCCCCCTTTCCCCCCCTTTTTTTTTCCAAACCTTTTTTTTGGGGAAAAAAAAAAAAAAACCCCCCCAAAAAAAACCCGGGGAAAAAAAAAAAAAACCCCAAAAAAATTTTTCCCCAAAAATCAACCGGTTTAAAAATTAAAAACAAAACCCCCCTTCCCCCCTTTTTTTAAAAAAAAAACCCCCCCCCCAAAAAATTTTTTGAAAACCCCCCAAAACCAAAAAAAACCCCCCAAAATTCCCAAAAAATTTGGAAACCAAAAAAATTAAAAAATTTTTTTTTTTTTTTTGGGGTTTTTTGGGGGCCCTTTTTTTTTAAAAAATTTTTTAAAAAAAAAATTAAAAATTTTTTTTTTTTTGGGGGGGGGGCCCCCCCCCCCAAAGGAATTTTTTTAAAAAATTTTTTTTTTGGGTTTTTTTTTGGGGGTTTTTTTCCCCCCCCCCGGGGGGGTTTTTTCAAACCCCCCCTTAAAAAATTTTTTTTTTTGGGGGGGGGGGGCCCCCCCCCTTTCCTTCCCTTTTTCCCCCAACCCCCCCTTTTTTTTTTTGGGGAAAAAGGAAATTCCCCCGGGAAACCCAAAACCCCCCCCAAAACCCCCCCCTGGGGGTTTTGGGGGGGTTTTTTTTAAAAAAAAACCCCCCCCAAAAAAAGGGGCCCCCAAGTGGCTCACAGGTAAATTTAAATCATCAAAAACCCTGCCAAGTAAATACTCAATAAACCCTGCTCCGGGTAAAAAATAAATCAACAACCGTACAGGTAAATAATCAATCAATAACCTGCTCACAGGTTATACATAAATCAATAAATAACCTCTCCGGGGTAAATACATCAAAAATCAAAAACCAACCTGCTCACAGGTAAATTATCTGAAATATACAACATGCACCACATCAAAACTGTTGTCTCAGTGTTGAACCCCACACCACTACACTATGAATGTTCCTCTGCACACCACTACACTAAACTACACTATTGAAGAGTCACATATACAGTACCAGTCAAAAGTTTGGACACACATACTCATTCCAGAGTTTTTCTTTATTTTTTACTATTTTCTACATTGTAGAATAATAGTGAAGACATCAAAACTATGAAATAACACATATGGAGTCATGTAGTAACCAAAAAAGTGTTAAATATATTTTATATTTGAGGTTCTTCGAAGTAGCCACCCTTTGTCTTGATGACAGCTTTGCACACACTTGGTATTCTCTCAAACAGCTTCACCTGGAATGCTTTTCCAACAGTCTTGAAGGAGTTCACACATATGCTGAGCACTTGTTGGCTGCTTTTCCTTCACTCTGCGGTCCGACTCATCCCAAACCATTTCAAATTGGGTTGAAGTCGGGTGATTGTGGAGGCCAGGTCATCTGATGCAGCACTCCATCACTCTCCTTGGTCTAATAGCCCTTACACAGCCTGGAGGTGTGTTTTGGGTCATTGTCCTGTTGAAAAACAAATGATAGTCCCACTAAGCGCAAAACCAGATGGGATGGCGTATCGCTGCAGAATGCGGTGGTAACCATGCTGGTTAAGTGTGCCTTGAATTCTAAATAAATCACAGACAGTGTCACCAGCAAAGCACCCCCACACCATCACACCTCCTCCTCCATGCTTCTCGGTGGGAACCACACATGCAGAGATCATCCGTTCACCTACTCTGCGTCTCACAAAGACACGGAACCAAAAATCGCAAATTTGGACTCATCAGACAAAAGGACAGATTTCCACCGGTCTAATGTCCATTGCTCGTGTTTCTTGGCCCAAGCAAGTCTCTTCTTATTATTAGTGTCCTTTAGTAGTGGTTTCTTTGCAGCAATTCGACCATGAAGGCCTGATTCACGCAGTCTCCTCTGAACAAGTATTTATTTGGGCTGCAGTCTGAGGTGCAGTTAACTCTAATGAACTTATCCTCTGCAGCAGAGGTAACTCTGGGTCTTCCTTTCCTGTGGCGGTCCTCATGAGAGCCAGTTTCATCATAGCACTTGATGGTTTTTGCGACTGCACTTGAAGAAACTTTCAAGGTTATAGAAATGTTCCGTATTGACTGACCTTCATGTCTTAAAGTAATGATGGACTGTCGTTTCTCTTTGCTTATTTGAGCTGTTCTTGCCATAATATGGACTTGGTATTTTACCAAATAGGGCTATCTTCTGTGTACCCCCCCTACCTTGTCACAACACAACTGATTGGCTCAAATGCATTAAATAGGAAAGAAATTCCACAAATAAACTTTTAACAAGGCACACCTGTTAATTGAAATGCATTCCAGGTGACTACCTCATGAAGCTGGTTGAGAGAATGCCAAGAGTGTGCAAAGCTGTCATCAAGGCAAATGTTGGCTACTTTGAAGAATCTCAAATATAAAATATATTTTCATTTGTTTAACACTTTTTTTGGTTACTACATGATTCCATATGTGTTATTCCATAGTTTTGATGTCTTCACTATTATTCTACAATGTAGAAAATAGTAAAAATAAAGAAAAACCCTGGAAAGTGTAGGTGTGTCCAAGCTTTTGACTGGTACTGTAAATATTTCTATCTCTGTAGTAAAGTATATTGTGTTTGATGCAGTGCAGTGGATTTTAATCAGGGTTTTATGACCAGGCTCTGTGCTTACTCAGCTCTGAGGCTAGAAGGGGGATGAGACCGTGCATAAGCTCATCTGCGTAATTCCACTTTTCTAGATCAATACAGATAATGTATTGTTCTGTGGCCAACCTCCGTGCTCCGTGGTATGATGTTCAGTGGCCAGGTTCCGTGCTCCGTGGTATGATGTTCAGTGGCCAAGCTCTGTGGTATGATGTTCAGTGGCCAAGCTCCGTGCTCGGTGGCACGATCCCCAGGGGACCATTACCCCACATAGTAAAACTCTGATTGCACCGCCAACTGAAGTGGGCCAGCTTGACGAGTGATTCGCTAGCTAACTAACGGACGGTGTCATCTCGTTGTGCGAGGCAGCGGATAGAACGCTTTTCAGTTAAATCCCCCAAAGTGGAAACGGATCGTGAAACGTCTGGTCACTACTTTATACTGAGAGAGGGAATTTTCAGCTGAGGGAGGGGGGCAGGGGGCAGGGGAGTAGCAGTAGCTATGAGTTGTGTGGAGCACACAAATACACACACAGACACACACACAGACACACACACAGACACACACTACAGACACACACTACAGGCACACACTACAGACATAGATGTAGTTTAAACCCATTCTACTGTTCTGTGTCCTCTGGAGTACAAGTCTCTGTGTTTACATCCAGGCCCGTCACCTAGGCGACGGAGCATTCTGTTTACCACCAGGGCTCTAACTAATTAGCCCACATTCTCTCTCTACCCTCGTTTTTCCAGGCCTTACGCAACTAACACATACTCATTCAAGGGTTTTTCTTTATTTTTACATTGTAGAATAATAGTGAAGACAACAACAATATGAAATGTTTACATTTTACATTTAAATCATTTTGCAGACGCTCTTATCCAGAGTGACTTACAAATAACACATATGGAATCATGTAGTAACCAAAAAAGTGTTAAACAAATGAAAATATATATTTATATTTGAGATTCTTCGAAGTAGCCACCCTTTGCCTTGATGACAGCTTTGCACACTCTTGGCATTCTCTCAACCAGCTTCATGAGGTAGTCACCTGGAATGCATTTCAATTAACAGGTGTGCCTAATAAAAAGTTAATTTGTGGAATTTCTTTCCTTCTTAATGCGTTTGAGCCAATCAGTTGTGTTGTGACAAGGTAGGGGGGCTATACAGAAGATAGCCCTATTTGGTAAAAGACCAAGTCCATATTATGGCAAGAACAGCTCAAATAAGCAAAGAGAAACGACAGTCCATCATTACTTTAAGACATGAAGGTCAGTCAATACTTCACAGAGTTCAAGTCACAGACACATCTCAACATCAACTGTTCAGAGGGGACTGTGTGAATCAGGACTTCATGGTCGAATCGCTGCAAAGAAACCACTACTAAAGGACACCAATAAGAAGAAGAGACCTGCTTGGGCCAAGAAACACGAGCAATGGACATTAGACCGGTGGAAATGTGTCTTTTGGTCTGGAGTCCAAATTGGAGATTTTTGGTTCCAACCGCCGTGTCTTTGTGAGACACGGTGTGGATGAACGGATGATCTCTGCATGTGTAGTTCCCACCATAAAGCATGGAGGAGGAGGTATTATGGTGTGGGGGTGCTTTGCTGGTGACACTGTCTGTGATTTATTTAGAATTCAAGGCACACTTAACCAGCATGGCTACCATAGCATTCTGCAGCGATACGCCATCCCATCTGGTTTGGGCTTAGTGGGACTATCTTTTTTTTTTGGAACAGGACAATGACCCAACACACCTCCAGGCTGTGTAAGGGCTATTTTACCAAGAAGGAGAGTGATGGAGTGCTGCATCAGATGACCTGGCCTCCACAATCCCCCGACCTCAACCCAATTGAGATGGTTTGGGATGAGTCGGACGGCAGAGTGAAGGAAATGCAGCCAACATGTGCTCAGCATATGTGGGAACTCTTTCAAGACTGTTGGAAAAGCATTCCAGGTGAATCTGGTTGAGAGAATGCCAAGAGTGTGCAAAGCCGTCATCAAGGCAAAGGGTGGCTATTTGAAGAATCTCAAATATAAAATATATTTGGATTTGTTTAACACTTTTTTGGTTACTACATGATTCCATATGTGTTATTTCATAGTTTTGATGTCTTCACTATTATTCTACAATGTAGAAAATAGTAAAAAAATTAAGAAAAACCATTGAATGAGTAGGTGTGTCCAAACTATTGACTGGTACTGTATGTTTACCTTGCCTGTGGCCCAAATGGCACCTATTCCCTATGAGCCCTGGTCAGAAATAGTGCACTATATAGAGAAAAGGGGGCCATTTGGGACGCAGCCCTGGTAATTATGCTGAACGGAAGATGAGGGGAATTGGGTTATGCACTGATCAGTGATTCTGATTCTCTCCCCAAAGCACCCAGTCCTATTGTATCAGGGTATTAGTTACCTCTGCCAAGGAGACAGAGGAAAGCAGTGGGGAGTTAGGATTTGATTCTAGCTTACATTCTGCTGCTGTAGTAGAGTGTCCTTCTACATCTGTGTTGCTTGCTGTTTGGGGTTTTACGCTGGGTTTGTAAAAAGGGCTTTGTAAATACATTTGATTTATTGATATTTACGGTAATAAACCTTTTACTATGCTCTTGTACTAGGGTATTTACCATAGTGATGACCTAGCTTTCAGATAAATTGGGCAGGTTTTTGTCCCTTATACCTTTCAGGATTTAGGCATTTTGGACATTAGTAAAAAAAAAAAAATACGAGATTATTGGTCATTATAATAATGGGTTTCTTTCTCTGGATTACAATGGAATATTCATGTTGTTCCAGAATGAGGAATGAGGACAACTGAACATTATTCTGTATTCTACCTCTGTGTCGTTATAGTGAAGGGAGGGAGGGGAGCCAACTGATGACTGCCTGGGTGCATCCCAAATGGCACCCTATTCCCTATGTAGAGCACTACGTTTGATCAAAACCCTATGTTCCCTGGTCAACAGTAGTGCACTACACAGGGAATAGGGTGCCATTTGGGATGCAGGCCTTGTTATTGATGCTCCACATTCACCTCACTGCATTCAGCTGAATTTGGCCCATTTCAGCAGCTTGCCTCTGTCAGGGCTCCTGTTAATAGGTCTCTGTGAGTCTCATTTCAGCAGCTTGCCTCTGTCAGGGCTCCTGTTAATAGGTCTCTGTGAGTCTCATTTCAGCAGCTTGCCTCTGTCAGGGCTCCTGTTAATAGGTCTCTGTGAGTCTCATTTCAGCAGCTTGCCTCTGTCAGGGCTCCTGTTAATGGGTCTCGGTGAGTCTCATTTCAGCAGCTTGCCTCTCTCTGTGTGTGTCTCTGACAGAGTTTAAAATGCATTACATCTGCATATCAGTCTATTCTATGGGGGGAAGAACTTCTGCATTATGATTCTGGCTGTGTATTGATGAGAGTATGACTGTGTACAGGTATGTGGATGCATGATGAATAATGGATGTTTCCACACAAGATCATTTAGATCAATGTTTGTGGTGTGACAGAACAGCATGTTAGCACACTGAAGTGGTGTGTAACCAGTCTTACTATATGAACATCTGAGCACATTTACACATAGAATAGTACATACTGTAGAATACAGAATTGAAGCCAGTCCCCTCCACCGCTAAAGCCGGGTATCTGGCTTTCTCTTCCCAGGACTGGCACCCTAGAGCTGGGGGACAAGCTGCTGGCCATCGATAACATCCGCCTGGACAACTGTTCCATGGAAGACGCTGTTCAGATTCTCCAGCAGTGTGAAGAACTGGTCAAGCTCAAGATCCGCAAGGACGAGGACAACTCAGGTAGTGCGTACACACTGGACACACACACACACACACACACACACACACTGGGGACACACACACACACACTGGACACACACACACACACACTGGACACACACACACACACACTGGACACACACACACACACACACACACACGCTGGACACACACACACACACACACACTGGACACACACACACACTGGACACACACCACACACACACACACACGCACACTGGACACACACACACACTGGACACACACACACACACGCACACACACACACACACACACACACTGGACACACACACACACACACACAAACTCACTCATCAACACACATACAGATCATTAGAGGTGTGTGTGTCACGGGTGGTAGCAGTGTGACTTCCTCCAGAACACACACAGATGGGTCTGCAGCCCAGTTCAGTTCAGATCATCTGTCAGGGCTCGTGCCAATTAAATCCACTTCCTCATCTCAATGAGCACCGCTGTTGACCCTGGACAGTCCTCTAATAATCTCATTCTCATCTAATACTCATCTAATACTCTCTGGTAGTCAAAACCACTGTACCAACCTCTCTGGTAGTCAAAACCACTGTACCAACCTCTCTGGTAGTCAAAACCACTGTACCAACCTCTCTGGTAGTCAAAACCACTGTACCAACCTCTCTGGTAGTCAAAACCACTGTACCAACCTCTCTGGTAGTCAAAACCACTGTACCAACCTCTCTGGTAGTCAAAACCACTATACCAACCTCTCTGGTAGTCAAAACCACTGTACCAACCTCTCTGGTAGTCAAAACCAATGTACCAACCTCTCTGGTAGTCAAAACCACTGTACCAACCTCTCTGGTAGTCAAAACCACTATACCAACCTCTCTGGTAGTCAAAACCACTGTACCAACCTCTCTGGTAGTCAAAACCACTGTCCTTGTTAGATATAATTCACCTGACCTAAAACAAAACACCCAATCTAACCCATCTCTATAGTCCTATGATCTAATTATCCATACACATGTTCCTTCCATTTCCAGGAAATGGTATACATGAATCATTTATCAAATGTAGCAACACAAATTTCAAAAAATGTTCAGCTTCAATTGTGAGTTGTATTCAATTATTCATTCCACCCAGTCTCACTGACTGAATGATGGAGTTGATGAACTCAGTATGTTGGGAAGTATGACAGAACAGCACATGGATACGGAGCCAACCCCCTATGGACTTCACTGATACTAACTGATACTAAATAAGAATGAGTAGAATTAGAATGTAGAATTAGAACTAAAACAGAGTGGTTGCATTTACACAGGCAGCCCAATTCAGTTTTTTTTCTTCTCAATAATTGGTCAGCGCTGAAAATATCTGATGTGAAAAGATCTGATCTGATTGATCAAAAAGACGAATTAGTGGAAAGAAGATCAGAATTGGGCTGTCTGTGTAAACCCAGCCAACTAAAGATAGCACTGTCCTTCCCACTACCCCATTTTCTAAAAGAGTCTTCCCAGTTGACACCTAAACTACTGCAATGCAGCAGGAGACCCCACGGCCAATCATCACAGAGCTATTATTCTGTATGCAAATGACGCTTAAATTAGTATAATTGTACCAATTAAAATGCTCTGTTTGATCAATCAGACCATTAAAAACCAACGCACCAAATTCCGCCCCTGGGGGACGAGAACCAATCGGCTCACAGCGGGTGCAGAATCAAACTGACATCAGACATCCATATTTACCCATTCATCTATTTACATGAGTCCCAAATGACATCCTATTCCCTTTATAGTGGCCCTATGGGCCCCAGGTCAAAAGTAGTGCACTATAAAGGGAATAGGGTGCCATTTGGGATGCAGTCCATGTGTCTGTTTTGTTCCTGTAATTATTTGTTTGAACTCAGAACTAAATATTTCTACTTGAAGTTGTAACGGAACAGAGATCGTCCGTTTTATAGATCTCACTTCACTGTTATGACTAATGCAGTCAGAGTGTTTAAACAACAGACACACATCCTCAAAGAGTTTCCCATATTAATGTGTTGCAGGCAGCATGTATCTGTCACTTTAGATGTGTGTCTCCTCTTGGGTCCCTCTACCACCCATGGTCACTGGGAGGAGAGTTAAGTACAATGTTTATTCTCCTGGCTCCCCTCACCACCCATAGTCACTGGGAGGAGAGTTAAGTAAAATGTTTATTATCCTGGGTCCCCTCACCACCCATAGTCACTGGGAGGAGAGTTAAGTAAAATGTTTATTCTCCTGGCTCCCCTCACCACCCATAGTCACTGGGAGGAGAGTTAAGTACAATGTTTATTATCCTGGCTCCCCTCACCACCCAGTCACTGGGAGGAGAGTTAAGTACAATGTTTATTCTCCTGGCTCTCCTCACCACCCATAGTCACTGGGAGGAGAGTTAAGTACAATGTTTATTCTCCTGGCTCCCCTCACCACCCATAGTCACTGGGAGGAGAGTTAAGTACAATGTTTATTCTCCTGGCTCCCCTCACCACCCATAGTCACTGGGAGGAGAGTTAAGTAAAATGTTTATTCTCCTAGGTCCCCTCACCACCCATGGTCACTGGGAGGAGAGTTAAGTAAAATGTTTATTCTCCTGGCTCCCCTCACCACCCATAGTCACTGGGAGGAGAGTTAAGTACAATGTTTATTCTCCTGGCTCCCCTCACCACCCATAGTCACTGGGAGGAGAGTTAAGTACAATGTTTATTCTCCTGGCTCCCCTCACCACCCATAGTCACTGGGAGGAGAGTTAAGTACAATGTTTATTCTCCTGGCTCCCCTCACCACCCATAGTCACTGGGAGGAGAGTTAAGTACAATGTTTATTCTCCTGGCTCCCCTCACCACCCATAGTCACTGGGAGGAGAGTTAAGTACAATGTTTATTCTCCTGGCTCCCCTCACCACCCATAGTCACTGGGAGGAGAGTTAAGTACAATGTTTATTCTCCTGGCTCCCCTCACCACCCATAGTCACTGGGAGGAGAGAAGTAAAATGTTTATTCTCCTGGCTCCCCTCACCACCCATAGTCACTGGGAGGAGAGTTAAGTACAAATGTTTATTCTCCTGGCTCCCCTCACCACCCATAGTCACTGGGAGGAGAGTTAAGTACAATGTTTATTCTCCTGGCTCCCCTCACCACCCATAGTCACTGGGAGGAGAGTTAAGTAAATGTTTTTTCTCCTGGCTCCCCTCACCACCCATAGTCACTGGAGGAGAGTTAAGTACAATGTTTATTCTCCTGGCTCCCCTCACCACCCATAGTCACTGGGAGGAGAGTTAAGTACAATGTTTTCTCCTGGCCCCCCCCTCACCACCCATAGTCACTGGGAGGAGAGTTAAGTACAATGTTTATTCTCCTGGCTCCCCTCACCACCCTAGTCACTGGGAGGAGAGTTAAGTAAAATGTTTATTCTCCTGCTCCCCTCACCACCCATGTCACTGGGAGAGTTAAGTATAATGTTTATTCTCCTGGCTCCCTCACCACCCATAGTCACTGGGAGGAGAGTTAAGTACAATGTTTATTCTCCTGGCTTCCCCTCACCACCCATAGTCACTGGGAGGAGAGTTAAGTAAAGTTTATTCTCCTGGCTCCCCTCACCACCCTAGTCACTGGGAGGAGAGTTAAGTACATGTTTATTCTCCGGCTCCCCTCACCACCCTATGCTCCTGGGAGAGAGTTAGAGTCACAATGTTTACTCTCCTGGCTCCCTCACCAACCCATGTCACTGTGGAGAGAGAGAGAGTAATGTTTATTCTCCTCTAAGACGAATGAACTAGAGTCAGTCTATGTGTGTCATGCTATGCATGTTAGAGCTGTTCTGAGAACTGTGTTATCCTTGCTCACCCACTTTAGGACTGCAGTCTTTCTCTGTGGGAGAGAGCGAGAGAGAGGCAGAGAAGAGAGAGAGAGAGAAGAAGAGCAGAGAGAATAGAGAGAGGAGAGAAGAGATAAGATATATAGAGAGAGAGATAGAGAGCAGAAGAGAGAGAGCGAGTAGAGTATCCATAGCGCTCTTCGATAATCGTTGCTAGAGAGGAGATAGAGCGAAGACGAGAGAGACTACTATTATCTACGATGGCTCTCTCTTCCTATGTTCGAAGCCTAAGGAGAGAGAGAGATGTAAGAAGACATGCATACACACACGTGCACATTTCACCGGATGCACAGAAACAGAGAGACCAAATGCATAAGAAACGAAGTGAGTTCTCAGACAAAATCCATGAGACCTCATGCCCTAGAAAGACAGAGGAACTCACTATAAATACAAGAGAACAAAATGTACTTTTACTGTGTTCTGTTCTCCACCAGCTACCAGACCTCAGTAACACAGACTCACTAACAGAGTCCAGGACACAACGTGACCTCAGTAACACAGACAAAGTGAATCTGGAGCTGCAGAAAGAGATAATGTAGCTATTACACATTAAGGCTGATTCTGTTACATTCATCTCTATATAATTCATGAACGATCATGAGAGATTTCCCTCAGATTACAGCGATCCACAAAGAATTCGAAAACAAACCCAATTTTTGATAAACTCCCTTATCTACTGGGTGAAAAACCACAGTGTGCCATCACAGCTGCAAGATTTGTGACCTGTTGCCACAAGAAAAGGGCAACCAGTGAAGAACAAACACAATTGTAAATACAACCCATATTTATGTTTATTTATTTTCCCATTTGTACTTTAACTATTTGCACATTGTTACAACACTGTATATATACATAGCTTTACAACTCTGTCCCCATGCTGTCCCTGAGCTGTGACAAGCACAGCCCTGGCCAGGGTTAGGACCAGGGTTAGGGCCAGGGTGAGGGCCAGGGTTAGGGCCAGGGTTAGGGCCAGGGTTAGGGCCAGGGTTAGGGCCAGGGTTAGGGCCAGGGTTAGGACCAGGGTTAGGGCCAGGGTTAGGGCCAGGGTTATTGTTTATTTCACTTTTGTTTACTATCTTCTTCACTTGCTTTGGCAATGTTAACATACGTTTCCCATGCCAATAAAGCCCTTAAATGGAATTGAAATTGAAATGAGAGAGAGAGAGAGAGACTCTCTCTCCCATCTCTACCTACCTACTGATGTTCCTATAAGACAATCTCTCTCTCCCATCTCTACCTACCTACTGATGTTCCTTTAAGACAATCTCTCTCTTTCTCCCATCTCTACCTAACAGGCCTGGTAAGCTTTCAACAGAGGAAAAAGGATCATCATATGTTATATTAACTGATATTAAACTCTCTTAGTAGCATTGAAAAACATGAATTAGTAAAACCAAGTAGGGATGGCGGATTTATTCAGACGCTCACCCGGTTCTTCCTCTTCAAAGAGTCTCCAGCTCTCAGCAGCTGCTCTGATCTGATCTGTATGTGTTATGGAAACTGTAGCGTAGACCCTCTGAGTTTCAAATTAGCAGTTGATCTTTTAACGCTCCTCGTCTGATGGAGTGGAACTCCAGGGGTGCCCAAGAAAACGCCAGAAAAGCCTAAAATTTTGAAAGGAAAAAGAATCCCCCAATTTTAAACTCCCTTATACTTTTTCCCACCTTCCACCACGGGTTTCTTTGAATCCCTTTTCCCCACCAAAAGGGGCCCGTAAGCCAAACAGAAAAAATCATTTATGTTTTTTCCCTGATTTAAAACTCTTTGACATTGAAACAGGATTAGAAAAAATGGAGGGCATTTTTAGAGTTTACTTTTTTTTGGTTTCTTATTTTTGTCTATCTTCATGTTTGGAAGTCCGTTCCCAGCTAAACCCTTTTAATTGTTTAAAAATGAATATGGAGAATTTCCCTCACCTACCTCTTTTCTCTCTTTTCCTCTTCCTCCGCTTTCTTTCCCCCTCTATTTTAACTGTTACCCTTGGTTTCGTTATAAAACCCTGGTGGTGTTTCCCCCCCCGGTTTTTTCAAATCTCCTTTCCCTCTGTCTGATCTTTTACTGTTGGTGGCCTCCTTTCTTATGTTTTAACTCTTCCTCAGATGGGTTCCCTCAATTTGGGTATCCTTTCCACCCCTTTCTTTTATCTCCATATTTCGCTTCCCCCGGGTTTGATAAAGAACAAATTTGGGGGGCCCCCTGGAGGAAGAGACCCTTCAATTTTTTTCCCCGGCCCATCCCCCTTTCTTTTTTTAAATCTCTTTCTCTCTCTTTCTCCTCCTCCTCCTCCCCCAACCCTGGTCCTGGCCAGGGCTGTGCTTGTCACAGCTCAGGGACAGCATGGGGACAGAGTTGTAAAGCTAAGAGACGGAGGTATACACCGTGTTCTGTTGTCCTGTGTTCCAGACGAACAGGAGCTGTCTGGATCCATCATCTACACAGTGGAGCTGAAGAGGTACGGAGGCCCGCTGGGGATCACCATCTCAGGCACAGAGGAGCCCTTTGACCCCATCGTCATCTCCAGCCTCACCAAGGGAGGACTAGCCGAGAGGTGAGAGAGCTAGGGGAATGGGGGTGTGGGTAGCTGGCAGAGACAGGGGACAGGGTGGAAGATGACAGACAGGGCAGGATGGGAGGAAGGAATGTCCTGAGATACCTGACCTGAGGTTTTGGCAGCCATTACTCCACATGTTTTTCTCTCTGTCTGTGGCTCCTGTCATCTCTAACCATACTGATCTGTCATCTCTAACCGTACTGATCTGTCATCTCTAACCGTACTGATCTGTCATCTCTAACCGTACTGATCTGTCATCTCTAACCGTACTGATCTGATTAACCTGTCATCTCTAACCATACTGATCTGTCATCTCTAACCATACTGATCTGTCATCTCTAACCATACTGATCTGTCATCTCTAACCGTACTGATCTGTCATCTCTAACCATACTGATCTGTCCCTCTCTAACACGTATTTTTAAACCCGTATCTCTAACCCGTTATTATCCCGTCATCTCTAACCGTTCTATATCCCGTCATCTTAACCTAGTGATCTGATATCTGTCATCTCTAACCGTGATGAGCTGTTCTCTAACCATAGTGATTGATTATCCTGTCATCTCTAAAACCCTAGTGATCTGATTTTCCTGATCTCTAACTGTGATCTATTATCCTGAAACTCTAACATAGGATCTGATATCCTGTCATCTCTAACCATATGATCTGATTATCCTGAAACTTAACCAAGTGATCTGATTTTCTGTATCTTTTAAACCCTAGGATGATACTGTATCTTAACCATGTGATCTGATTATCCCGCATCTTAACCTAGTGATCTGATTATCCTGTCATCTCTAACCATAGTGATCTGATTATCCTGTAATCTCTAACCATAGTGATCTGATTATCCTGTCATCTTTAACCATAGTGATCTGATTATCCTGTCATCTCTAACCATAGTGATCTGATTATCCTGTATCTTTAACCATAGTGATCTGATTATCCTGTAATCTCTAACCATAGTGATCTGATTATCCTGTAATCTCTAACCATAGTGATCTGATTATCCTGTAATCTCTAACCATAGTGATCTGATTATCCTGTAATCTCTAACCATAGTGATCTGATTATCCTGTCATCTCTAACCATAGTGATCTGATTATCCTGTCATCTTAACCATAGTGATCTGATTATCCTGTCATCTTTAACCATAGTGATCTGATTATCCTGTAATCTCTAACCATAGTGATCTGATATCCTGTATCTCAAACCATAGGATCTGATTATCCTGTCATCTCTAACCATAGAGATCTGATTATCCTGTAATTTTTAACCATAGTGATCTGATTATCCTGTAATCTCTAACCATAGTGATCTGATTATCCTGTCATCTTTAACCCTTGCATCTGATATCCTTAATATCTAACCCTAGTGATCTGGTTTTCCTGTCATATCTAACCATAGTGATCTGATTATCCTGTCATCTCTAACCATAGTGATCTGATTATCCTGTCATCTCTAACCATAGTGATCTGATTATCCTGTAATCTCTAACCATAGTGATCTGATTATCCTGTCATCTTTAACCATAGTGATCTGATTATCCTGTAATCTCTAACCATAGTGATCTGATTATCCTGTAATCTCTAACCATAGTGGTCTGATTATCCTGTCATCTCTAACCATAGTGGTCTGATTAGAAGCAGCGCCAAGGTCGGCCTCACAAAGTCTCCATGACCTCTTCACTCACTCAGACTGACACAAGGCATTCTGCACAGTGTCTCCCAGACTCCAAGCAGACAGTTTCTCTCTCTCTCTCTTTCTCTATCCTTTGCTTTCTCTCCCACCCCCTCTCTCTCTCTCTCTCTGCCTCTCTCTCTCTCTGTGGTGCTGGGGAGAACTGACTGACTGAAACCCTGGGGAGGCTTGGATAGCTCAGGCAGACGCCAGACCAGATGGTCTGAGGACAGAAAATGTGCTTGGCTCAGTAGGATAAAGAGTTGAGGTTTCTGGGGGCACTAATCTGACAGATCTTTTACACTCTCTTTGCACACAGACCTTTTCTCCTGGGTCATGTTCAGTAGGGTACACTGTAGCCAAATAATGTGCAACTTCCTATTGGTAGTACATCCCCGTTTTCACAACGTTTGCTCCCTAATGAACACAACCCTGGTGTTTCTCTGTGTATAGGACGGGAGCGATCCACATCGGGGACAGGATCCTAGCCATCAACAGTAACAGCCTGAAGGGTAAACCACTGAGTGAAGCCATTCACCTGCTGCAGATGGCTGGAGAGTCTGTCACCCTGAAGATCAAGAAACAGGGAGAACGTGAGTAGAGGACACACAGTACACAGTACACACCCAGAGGTCAAGGACCATGCACACAGTACACAGTACACACCCAGAGGTCAAGGACCGTACACACAGTACACAGTACACACCCAGAGGTCAAGGACCGTACACACAGTACACAGTACACACCCAGAGGTCAAGGACCGTACACACAGTACACAGTACACACCCAGAGGTCAAGGACCGTACACACAGTACACAGTACACACCCAGAGGTCAAGGACCGTACACACAGTACACAGTACACACCCAGAGGTCAAGGACCGTACACACAGTACACAGTACACACCCAGAGGTCAAGGACCGTACACACAGTACACAGTACACACCCAGAGGTCAAGGACCGTACACACAGTACACAGTACACACCCAGAGGTCAAGGACCGTACACACAGTACACAGTACACACCCAGAGGTCAAGGACCGTACACACAGTACACAGTACACACCCAGAGGTCAAGGCATGACATAGTACAACCAGAGCCCTCACTGGGGTCAAAGACCGTCACACCGTACACATGACATAGTACAACCAGAGCCCTCACTGGGGTCAAAGACCGTCACACCGTACACATGACATAGTACAACCAGAGCCCTCGCTGGGGTCAAGGTTCAGGTAACACGCTGTACATTATAGGGAAGCTACATAAGAATAGGATATACCTTAATCGACCTGTCAATGCAATCTACACACAAAATGTTAGTTATCTATACTGTGCTGTACTGTACCATACACACACACACTGTGTACTATACACACACACACACACACCTAAACACACACACACACACACACCTTTTTGCAGTGGATGAAATAGTGTTTCAGCACTATCACCCTAGTGCCAGAACCCTTGTTCGGTTGGGTTAGGCCGCCAAATTGATTCAATAAATAGAATTTACAGCAGATATGGTTCCATTACAGAAGACAATTTGCTCATATCTTGAGCTGTGCATTCAGTGCCTGCTTATTTCTGCTGAATTAGAGTGAGATTGATTGACTTAGAAGTTGGCTGGAAACAGCTGTGTGGGAAAAATAACAGATTGCATGATCATTTCTTCCTGTGCTCATCTCTTTCCCTCTCTGACTCTCTCTCTCACACTACACCTCCCATTCTCTCACTCTCACCACCCTTTCTTTCTTTCTTTCTTTCTTTCTTTCTTTCTTTCTTTCTTTCTTTCTTTCTTTTTCTTTCTTTCTTTCTTTCTTTCTTTCTTTCTTTCTCCTCTTTCCCCCCCTAGTGGCCAGTCCCAAGCAGCCGTCGGTGTCTGGTCGTCTCAGTGATGTGATGCTGAGTGACGTGGAGGACGAGGCAGGGTTAGGGGGTCTGGGAGGCCAGGCAGAGAGCCAGAAACCTGGGAATCTCTCTGACCTCTACTCCACCACCATCCCCTCTGTGGACTCAGCCGTGGAGTCCTGGGACGGCTCAGCCATAGACAACACCTTCAACACCCAGGGTGAGAGGGAAGTGTGTGTGCGTGACAGACAGACAGAATGGGAGGCTCAGCCATAG